ATTCTAAACTCTTGAATAATTAGAATACTCCTTTTAATTGTGTAACTTGCCCCTATTTACAGGTATGACATGATTTAGGATGCAAGATTAAAAGTCTGTGGATTTTAAATGTTTGGAGACAAGCTGGGGGATCTGGCGTTTCTGTTCTCTCTCCAGGCCCTCCCTCTTCAACCTGAAGACTCAGAAATTATCCCAAATCATAGAAAGGTGGGACATATGGGAATGAGTAAACCATTCTAACCCAATGAATTAGGTTTCTAGTCATTATCCATAAAAAGATGAAGAGGACATTGGAACAAGAATTGACACAGGGAGAGAGCAATCTCACCTTTAGAATATCTCTAGGATATTTTTCTGGTAAAACCCACCAAGCCCTATTTTGGGTAATGATGAACGTAAATGTCTGATCTGCAAAGAAAACTCTCACCAGAGACCTGCTGATTCAAGAATTCCTGCCTAATAGGAATACTGCCAACATTTTTCTGTTCCTAATGGGAATGTGTCTGCAGTTTAAGTAAGAGCTTTTCTGAAGAAAAAAAGAAAAAATGGGAAGTTTTGGTGTTGCTAACATTTCAGGTAAGATTGAGAGTTCGCCCTTGTGACTTGGTGTGTTCTGCTAAATTTGGAGTAAGTATTGTATATGAGAGTAACAGAGGTGAGCCCCTGGGACACAGTCTTAGGAAAAAAGCTTTCAGTTTCCAGTGGACAATTTCAAATTGAAGATCTTACCAGCCACCCTTTAAAATCTGTTCCAACCATGGCATCCCATGATTCTTTGGATTCTCAAAGTGGTATCTAGCCACTGACAGAGGCAAGAGCTGGCTGGAAGACCAAGAGGAGAAAAATACAAAAGAAATACAATCTCTTTCTACATTAATCACAGCCTTTTGAAGAATCTCAAGTATTCTTTAGCAATCGTGTTTAAAACCCTAATGAGAAACTCCACCATGAACGAGGTTTGGCATCTTTGCTCTCCACCACCACACCCAAGCCGACCCCCCTCACCAAACAGCATGAGGGAAGCAAACCTACACATCAGTGTTGCCACTCACCTTCTAACTGAGGAGGGAAAATGGAGAGGCAGAGACTTTGGAATGATAAGACTGCTGCCCAGTGTCATCTGCTTTGGTGATGCCTTGAATTACTCCTGGCTATAGCTAATTATATCAGTTGTGTCCTTATATTCCCCATGGAATGATGCTCATTGCCCCAAAATATGAGTTCAATTGTGAGTACAAATCCCAAATCAGGAAAGCCTAGGCTAGTCCAGCTTTCTTTATTATTTGCTATTTTCCCTTATAAAAGTGTTGACAAAACAATAAAGGTAATTTCTTTGGAAGGCAATACTTCTTCCGAAGTAAAATGCTTCAGAGATATGAACAATCTGGTAGTCCCACTTTCTCAACCCTGAAGATTTCCAGGCTCAAGGTTATTGGTCAGGTGGTGTTGTAATCAGGCACTGCTGTAGCCACAGGTTACCCATCTTTCTGATCTAATTCTCTTGCTACAGAATAAGCCACTGATCCATTGGTCCATAGCTGCAACTTGGGATCAGGTTCTTTGGCAAGAAACCGCAGTTGGGTTTTTTTCATCCTCTTTAAAAGTCTACCAAAAATCTTTCTGATCTAATTCTCTTGCTACAGAATAAGCCACTGATCCATTGGTCCATAGCTGCAGCTTGGGATCAGGTTCTTTGGCAAGAAACCGCAGTTGGTTTTTTTTCATCCTCTTTAAAAGTCTACCAAAACCAAGCAACACAGAACTAAATATCATTGTAAATCCACAGAGAAGGAATGCTGCAGTGTAGTTGCCAGTCGTATCTACCAGCCATCCTGTAACAAACAGCAAAATTACATTGTTGAGCTGAAAATTCAATCACTTAACCACTGTCAAATCTAATAATTTGTAAGATAATGGCAAGAGATTGCTAACATCACCATTAAAATTTTGAGACAAAAAACAGATCACCTAAAAATATCAATAGCAACTGAAAAGTACATTCTATTTTCTAGGGAAAATCTAAAATAAGTAGACTGTTGTTATTATGTAAAGTAATTAAAAGAGTGTCACATACTTAGCAATCACACAATAAATATTGGTAACCATTAGCTCCATGAAATCTGGTAGAAAAGATAAAAATAGCATCATTCAAATTATTGAACTTGGGATAATTTATCTAGGGTGTTAGGAGAATATAATTATGCAAAATGCTAACAGTATTCCCAGTACCCATACACTATCTTGAATAACATAGCATGCTTCAAAGCAGGATCCAAATTTTCAACTGGATTCAGTCATTGTACCCCATCCAGTTTAAAAATCAGATCATTGGGCCATCTTAGAAGTTGCAAATGAACATTTGTAAAGGCATGATTCTGTAAGCACAGGTTTTTGTTTTTAATCTCCTGTTAAAATTAATCTCAATTCTGTATCTCAGCTCTAAATTTTGAGCAAAACCAGAGCATATGATATGCAAAATATGGGCCACAATGATCAGAAAATCAGAGAGGTAAAGTTATACCTTGGCAAGCAGTTATCTTTTGATTAACATAAAGTTTTTTTAAAAAGTCCTTCAAACTTTACTTGTAGCCAAGAAAATCCATCAGAGAAGTATATTGTTCTTCCTCTTACCCACTTTAAATCCATTACTCAAAAATGGCCTGGAGAAATTGTTATAAGCCCCACAAAGCTTCCTGCGATTCAAACTACTGTCAAATATTTTAGTTATCGTGTGATTTACTTGTGCATTTCTTTAGCTCCAAACAGAATGAGTAAAGAGTTGTCATTTTAAAGGTAAATAAATAAGAGAAGTATTATAATAAGAACCCACGTCCTAATCCTCTAATTGCCAGTAATGGGGATAAGGTCTGATTTCCCAAATGAAGCCCATGGAATGAAAAAAAGGCCCAGGAATCCAAATTTCATTTGTGTCTTATGAGTTTTAACAGAATTACACTGTTCCTAAAGGTTGGTGAACACTAAAAGTGGCTACGGAGGATGTGGAAACATTTTAGGGGCAGTTTTCCAAAATGAAGCACTAAACATATAGTTCTATATTATGGAATTTAAACTGACCAGGAATTTTCATTGGCAGCAGTCAAACAGCCACTTGTTCCCCTAGTTTGATGCTTTTTTTTAACCCCCAATTGTTGGGTTTTAGGAATAACTCTAAATTGTCTATTCACAAGAGCAGCTAATAGCAGAAATCCTGTCTTCTTCAAAAAATTCCTTTCCTCCTAAGTTTGGCTCATTCTCTTTTGCCTGTCTTCAGAGACCTTGTTCACTCTCCCAGTTTTAATTTAGACAGGTAATAATCTCAACCAGTTATTCTCAATCTTTAGTGTGCACGAGCATCACTAGAAAGCAGGTTGAAAATGTAGATTCCTTGAACTCACCCCCAAAGTTTCAGATCATAGGTGGGATGGTCAAGGAAACTGCATATTAACAAGGGCCCTAGGGGATTCAGATGCAGGTGGTCCCAGGACCTCATTCAAATGACACTAGTCTAGACCACAAGCTCCAGGAAGGAAAAACAGTTTCTGACCTGACAGCTGCTGTGTCACCAGTGCCAAGCACAATGCTGATTACAGAAGTAATAAATATTTGTTGAATTACTTGTTTGATGCATGCAATAAATATTTGCCAAATTATCTGTTTAATCTTGCTTTAAATCTCTATAGCATTTATAGTTTACTAAACTTTCTAAATGTTTTATCTGATGACTCCCAAATCTGTATATCCAAATCTGGCCTCTCTCTAAAGCTCAGATTTCATCCTTAAACAGCTCTATTGAGCATTTTCACCTGTATATTTCAGATATCTCAATAAATCTAAACATTAAATTCACCATTTTTCAGGTAAAACCACTTTCTTCAACTTTATTCCTTTTAACCATGACTTTATTTTCTAAATCATCTTTGACATCTTTCTCTCCTTCACCTCCATATTCTAAATTCAGTTGATTATTTTTTTCCAAAATTTCCCCCTTGCCCCCAGAGCTCATTTCTATTTCTGCTACAGCAGAAATACAAGAAATACAGCAGTTCAAGTGTTTATCAGTTTGCTTCTGAACCATTAGAATGGAATCTTAACTACCTCTCCCCTAAATTACTAGATAAATTGCTAGGTCATATTTTTAAATACATTCTTCATCATATTGCATAAAAGTTTTAACACTATCCATAATCTATGAATTATAGAGCCCAGTCTTTGCTTAGAATTCAAAATACTCTACTGTGACTCCACACTTATCATTTCAGTCTTACCATACACAGCACCCTGCTGGAGTCTTCTTCTCCCATCAGACTTCCCTCTGAATGTGCCCAACTTCATTATAACTCTGAACAGCTGCTTGATTCCATTGCCCTCATCATTAGTACGGGCAGGAATCAAAACACTAATTTGGGACTTTTTCTTTCCAGGTAGGTAAGTTCCCCACTTGGTTGAAAGAATATTAT